CTGTGGGCTACAAGCTGTCAGCTGCATTCGAGTTGCATTTCTCTACTTTATTTCTTCAAAGCCATGACGGGCTCAAAAATATCTCCAGTTTGATTATTGTGCATGTGTCACTGGGCTGCTTGGACTACAGCAGCTGCAAACATCTGCCCCGATGCAGTATCATGATGTGACAGGTTAAATATTTTAAGGCACGATGCTCAGCTGGTATGAACCAGCATGGTTTGGCTGACTTCAAAAGCAATAGCTTGACTAAAACCAGTAGAGATAAGTAAAACCTTATGTACAGAACTAGTAATGACAGTACCTTTTTTAAGGCATTCCGTTTGTATAGACATTTTTTGACTTCAAGGCACTATGTTATTTAACCCTTCCAGCACACCTATGCATTAGACTTCAACACCATTTTAAAGTTCTTAAATCAATGTTGCTTAAAGACATGCTTAAAGCTTCAGAGAGAAACCTGACACAGCCAAAATTTTGGAGTTTTTTTCTTTGCTTGTTCTTATTCAGGCTACACACCTTTAGCTAGTAAACACAACAAAAAATAAAGACAAACAACACGCTTTTTGTTCCCTGCAAGAAAAGGAGAGCTGGCCAGACAAATTCAGCATGTCCTTGGTGGCCAGCAGCCTCGAGCATCACCCTGCAACCACCTTATGGCGTGATCACCACCAAACCTGCTCAACTCATTGAGAGGGATTTCATGTATCATCTACAAAACCCCCTAAGGAAGTCTCCATTTCCAACTTACCTATTTCTCTTTCTCAGCACCAGAGCATAGCTAAGTAGCAGAGACATTTTTTCCTCCTACAAAACAAAGCTTTTTGCTAGCAGAGTTTCTCCAGTGAGGAGTGCCAAGCAATCATAAAGAAGGCTGGCCTTTTTGGGCTTGAACTTAAAAAAGAAACCAAGACACCTCACAAATAGTTTACACTCCATGAATTTTAAAGTAAAAAAACAGCAGAAGAATTCTGACAGCTCATTCACTCACCTTCCCAGAGAAGCGTGTAGAGCTGCCCCAACCAGAGCTTCCAATCTGCCGAGGCCCCAAGGTGGGATAAAGAATAAAAACGAGGAACACATAGAAAATGAAGCTAAAATAATATGCACTTCTTAAATATTCAGAAAGTGCACAGCACTCTACAGTTTTCTTCTCAAAATTAAGGACCACGCTTTTAAGTGCCAAATACGCACTTAAGTTTTTCTTTCATGCATGACACCATAGGGCCACATGTGAAAAAAACCCTTATTTTACGCAGGTCTTTTTGCCTCTTTTCACACTGTCTTGTCTCCTTCAGAAGAACTAGCAGAGTATACTTACAGTGTTAGGTAACTGATTAGCTAAGAAAACAAAAAGCAGCCCTGGAGGACAGACAGATCTTTTATGTAATATATAGGACACCGGAAAAATGCTGTCACATAAACAAGAAGACATTTGCTTTCCATAAACCATTCCTGAGCCTTGGGATCCCGGAGAGCACGTTGGAGAGCAAACAACACAAAGCGAGAGCTGTTTGCAGAGCCGGAGCAATTCCTCACCTGTCCTTACGCGGCCAGAGAACACAGACAATGATTGAAAGAAGATTTCTTAATGTAACGCAGATGTGCAAATCCCAGATCCTTTTAAAAAAAATGTTTTTTGTATGGCATTTTCAGGAAGAAGATGGTTTATGTATCTTAATTGAGACTGAATAAGCTATCCATGCATTTGCACGAGTTTAAATGTATGTATCCATCTGGAATTGATTTGTAAAAAGGTTAAATAAAATAGGAAGTGAGCAGTTCCTTGCATCTTGTACAATACAAAGAGCAGAACACAACATGGATGCTGGCAAAAATCCATTATGATAACAAATCAGCAATTCCCAAGATGGAACAGCCAACTGAAGAGATCTGTTAAAATATTCTTGTTGGCTACAGATACCTTCTGATCTGGTTCCTTCTGCTTTTCATAAGTTTTGAACATGCTTTAACAATTTAATTTTAAAAAAGACGACAGATAAAACGTGAACACACTCGTAGCCCAAGGCCAAATGACATCAAACAATACCAATGACCACAAACAGTAGAAATGCTGATTTTAAAATTAATTTCACATCATTGAGTGATATGATCTATTCATCTCTTTTGCTTCTTTACACATTTAGAGGGAAAATATATATCGATGTATCACAAAAAGCACTGAGGACTTTTCCCTTTAATACTGTATTCCTTTTACCTTGTCAAAACGCACCTTTAGTCCTCAGCCTTGGCATGCATTTAATGTAAGATAAATTATTTTTAGGAGGAAATAAATACATTTTTCAATATCCTCCTTTCCTCTCCAAACATCAAACAAGCTTATAAATATTAAGGAAATGCATATCATAAATCCTCCCAAATCGGCAATTATTAGTCCCTTTCATATAAGGCATGACAGAGGCATTCACCGAAAGGGTGACCAAGACCACAAAATAAAACCATGACAGAAGTGGGAACAAAAGTCAGATATTCTGATTCAAGCTCTTATATGTTGTCTATAAGCCATGAAATTCCCAGGATGTACTTCAAACTTTATTTCTATTCCCAATACATTATAACAGTTGTACAAGAATGGTCTGCAGTCACAGTAGAAAACCAGTGTCATCTGTAATGCTGAGAGTGTATACATACACACACACACACACACATATATATATATATAAAGATTTATCATAATCATAAACGCTTTCAACATTAAATACTTGACCCAGAAATCTGTAATCGGAAAAAGCTTCTGCACACAGAAAATTCTGCTTCAGCCAGGACTGATCCTCATTTTTCTAAACTAGATGAGAACTGCACTTAAGTGTTGACTCATTTATTTATTCCATAGTAGACAGTACTGCTCAAGTGGAATGCAAGCCTCATCTATATCTAAATATTGGAACAGCAGAATAATTCAAAGGTAAAATATACACCTCATTTTTAAATGTTCTTCTGTTTGTATGACTAAGAGCCTTAACATTACAGCCCACATCCTCAGCAGGAGTAAACTGGCCTAATTCAGAGGCTTTCAGTGGCAATATGTTGATTTAGCTGATGCTCTGGATCTATCTTTTATCAAGTATAGATTGTCAGACATCCTTGAGGACAGTTACCTTACATACAGATACATAGATCTCTCACTTCCATGACCATCAGCCTTCCTGAACTTGTCTGAACAGATATTAAGCAGTTTTTGTACCTTAGCCTATGTTCTGATCCCTGAAAAGAGCTCTTTGCACAAACAGCTCCAAAAGCTGCCTTTGTATTGCAAACTGCATTCTGCAAAACAGTTGGGCAATTCAAAAGCATATGAAAGCAATTACAATTATAGTACTGCTATGATCATTAAAACATTGCCAGCTGTACGTAAGCCTACTGAAATCTACAGCTGTTATATGGGTAATGGGAAAAATGCCAAAGCTTCAGGTTCTGTGCCCCATAATTTCTCAGGCTGTTACATTACAAACCAAGTTACTATCATTCTCCTACCTCACAAAACGTTTTTTCACACTTTCTTGTGAACAGTTGTTTCTCTCATCACCTCTGAACAATAACAATCGTAACATATTGTATACAGTGATATCCAATATAAGATTAAACCAGATCAAATAAAAATAGAAAAAAATTAACTGATTCTCTTCTGCTGAAAACGGGGCCGGCTTTCTCTAGACGCTTTCTATTCTTGGTCACCTTTGTCTTCAGTTGCCATGGGGGATTCTCTCTGTTGTTCCTCTGGATCTCCTGGAAGAATACTGGTGACTGTCTGGAGGAGTGATTCGATCTGCTCTTCTGTTAGTCTTTCTTCACTTTCTTCTACCATCTGCAGGTCAAAAACACTCTATTGTAATCATCAAATCCACACTTCCTTCCTTAGCTCCAAGCAGAAGCTCTAAACTAATAGGGAAATACCGTTTCAATGGAAGTAATACATTCACTTAGCTCATTACAGAAGCATTTTACCAAGTTGAACTCTTATAATATTTAAAAAGGGAAAAAAGAGCTCCACCATTAATCATGGCAAACGGTAGTCCATAATGACGCCCTATTTTTCTTTTAAAACAAGGAAAACAAAGCACTCAGAACAGGCTTTCCTCCCTGGTTTCTCCTAAAGCCTCTCCCAACCCACACAGCAGATACCTTGAGCCAGGCCTTTCATTCACATCTAATGTGCAGAGCTGCCTTCCAGATCCATTTTCCTAGCTTGCTGTGCTTTTATGTGAGAACTAGATAACCTGAAAGGGGCTACCTGAATCTTCGTATCTTATCCATCATCCAGGAAGAAAGTAATGAGGCCATAAAAGATGCCATCTGATCCAGGAACAGTCATGTTTTGTTGCAGTTTACTGAGATTGCAATCATCCTGAATATAAAAGCACATAAAAGCTATGAACAACACAAAACATGCTGTCAGGAATTAACAGTAAGATTCCCAAAGATTAATTAGGGACCTGCTATCGTGGTGGAGCTGTGAGAACTCTCATATTACTGCTACCAGTAAAAACAACTGCCCTAATTTATCGCCAGCTGTTAAAAGGAAAAGCTTGTCAGAAGGCTGGAAAAGCAAGCCAAATGAACTCTTCACACGCAAATGAAACCAATTAGGATTGTGGGGCTTGAGATTTTCTTTGTATTACACAAAGTCCTTTAAAATCTCCTTTGAAGAGTGGTGATGTGTATTAATTATGGCTCCAAGTCAACATAGGTTTAATCAACTCTGGCTATAAATTGGCAGCTATGCAGATGCATCTTCCCTTCTGAAAACCAGAAGAGTTGAATGTTCAATTGAAAACTTTTTTCAGTGTCCTATGAGCCCTCTTTGCCCAATCTGCTCATCTTTCACCAGCCACTGTCTGCAGATCCTTGAAGAGAGGAAATCAAGCAAACTGGAATCCACTTGTGTGGCAAAGGGCAGACCAGGAATATCTGTTTGCAGGTGGCTGTTTCTGGGGACCATCCTGGGCAAAGGATGAGATCCTCTGTGGAATGATCTACGCTGCTAAGTTTCATAAAGCATGGTCAGCCTGTTTTCTGGACAGGATTATAGTGTCATTAATCACTACTGCATTGAACTCCAATGGTGATGGCTCCATAGCAGCAGGAACGCTACAGACATGTAACAAAGAAAAAGCCCACGTCCTTTGGATAGGCAAAATTACTTAAGACTGATTTATTTTGCAGGGGCTAATGCCTGATGCATTTGTCACCATCCCGCTGCTTTCAAGTCTTCACAAAACTGGCACCTTGCCTGGCTTAGATCTGATTTATTGGATCACATGAAGGCTGCCCTTTCACATTGAAATTTTATCCCTTCCTAGACATCTCCTTTCCCTTTCTTCACCAAGCACTTTCTCCTTCAGGTGCTTGCTTCGTGTGGCTTGAGTTAAACACAAGGCTTTGATCAGAATTTCTAAGGAGAGAATACAGAGTGATTTCTGGGTCCGGTATCAGCTCTTCCCGACCTCTGCATTTAAGGCAGAATACACCTACATGAATGTCTAATCACTGCTTCTTACATGCTCCTGAGGGCTGAGCAAGCAATGCTGCAGCTCCTAATATGAGCAGTCAGGTTGATGGCATTTGTACTGGTTGGATACAAAAGTTTGCAGGACGGATAAACTGCAGATAGCAATTCGGGACATTGACAGACGAGCTCTGGTGATCGCTCTGGCAGTTTAAGGAATCACGCTTCACCAGAGAGTCGACGAAAGGAAAAAGTCTCCCATGTTTCAGATGCGTTGGTGCTGTAACTGATGTCTCAGATGAAACTGTTGAGAAAGGAGGCTGTAAAGCAAGGTGCTGGACACTGTGCTGAGGAACGGGTAACGTAGTCCCAAATCCCCTTCTGTTGTCAGATTAGCAGTCTCTGCTAGAGGAAAGTGGTAATTCCTTAAACCGCTGCAGCAAATTCATCAAGGGCTCACCTCTCAGCAGCTCCGAGGCATGCATCTGATTGCCAGCGCTTGCACAGGAATTACGGAAAGACAAAAATCTACGTTTGGCAGGATGGACAGCTTATTATTCATGCTGATATTCAAGAGTTCAAAGGAACAAAAGCATAAGCTATAAAATTCAATTTTTTCACTCTTCAGGGTAACAGCAAGAGCAGTGACTTCTGAAAACCTAAGCAATTAGGAAACAGCAAAGCAGCGAGCCAAAACAAAAAACTCAAACGTTAAACACAGAGAACATGTAGATGAAGAAAGACACGACACTGTGCTAAAGGAAAGCAGATAGCAAAGGAAACAGAAGGTGACTCAGACTCATTCCAGATTCAGCAGATGTTAGCGCAGTCTTCTGATTTGCATCTATAAGACAAAGATAGTACTAGCAAATAATATTGTGATGATCAAAAGAAGAATTATGCACAAGAAAAAACATAAAAGGGGAAAAGAAACAATTATATTCAAGTACCTCCTTTCCTAGCAAGAATTTTACCAATATAGGAACGAATATCAAAAAGCCTTGCTAACTTCTAACTTGGAATTGGCTGAAACTACTACAGCAATAGATTCAAAGTGTAAGCAGTCAGGAATGCAACGTTTGCACTAGGGAAAACAAAAATGCAAATGTTTTGAATAAGTATATGACATAAGATGTTTATGTTGGCAGTGCCACGCGAGCCAAATGGAAATAGATTATCCTCTCAGATGATACCATGTGCAAACTTAGGGCATCATCAACTGAGGCTTCCACTGTACTGTCTATTTTCCATATTCATGGTTTTGTGCAACTAGTGGAGCCAGGCAATGTTACGATAACATAGTTTATAGATAAAAAGCACCCTGATGTGCAGCAAGACAAGCACATCTCTTTTTCAAGGCTGAGAGCAAGGATGTTCTTGAAATGAACACAAAAAAGGGCAGAAATCATGCTGTTGATGCTTCTTGTTCTAATAAATAATGCCAAGGTCATTACTGCTTTTCAGCATTCACGTTTGTATTACCCCAAAATAACTATAAAGTGTTTTTGTAGCAGATAATATAGCATATCAATGTCATTCATAAATATATACAGTATGTGATTTCAATAAAATGCAGCTATGCGGTTAAGATCAATTTAATGTCAGGCTAGGCGTCAACAATAGCTTTTATTTCACATAAACCATTAACAGTTAGTTATTAAACTCTCATTGCAATGTATTCATACCATCAGCAATTTTCACATTTAATTTTCCCCCTACCTAATGCTCTCAATAGTATCATCTATAAGATGGCCAAAGAAGGAATCAAGCAAGGAGGCTGCAAAACTTTATTTTGTAGTTTAATTGGTATAAAAGTCTTACAGCTCAAAAGGGAAACGTTTCTTCTGCAGTTAGCATACACTTTTCAAGCCTACGTCTAACCCAGGGTTAAGTTTCTTAACGTGTATGTTAGATGCATTGATAGAAATGGCCAGATTTTCAGAACCGTGGAATACCTACACACTAGAAGGAAGTCAGCTGAAGCCACTGTACTGCCCACCTCGGAGAGTCCTGCTGTCTTTATTTAGAAGTCTAATAAGCAATTAATACTTCACCTCTTTAGGCACTTTGTGCCTAGAACTGTTCACAATAATTCTGAGTATCTGCTCAATTCCAAGGACACAAGAGGTCCAACAAACTGCACTGGACTGTAAGCTGAGAAGCGCTTAAAATTAGGCAAGCGTTTACTAAAAGGAGAGTGTGCAAAGAGGGGGATAGCCACCCGCGCTCTCTTTTCCAGCCTCCTCCCTGAAGCACCCCTCAGTGGTCAGCATCACGGAGGGGAGACGGGATGGGACTGACCTCTGCTACAGCCCAGCGTGGCACTTCTTACGGCCTGCCAACTCTGCTCTTGATTTCCAGGTAAATCTATGCATGGATTTTCTAACGTAGCAAAATAAAGCACACATCCAACATCCATCCCTAGAATCCTCTTAGGAAAGAGCGAAGAGATGAATCGCTCGTCAGCTGCGGAACTGAACACCGGCAGATGCCGTGCTCAGTAATGCAACTGCTGCTGGGAACTGGCGCTGTGTTTATTAAACAAATGTGTATGTGGGATACGTTATTACCATGCAGCCTTTCCCAGCTGCGCGTTTTAACAGCAGCTCTTTTTAAATTAAACTCTACGTACCAATTTCTCAGAGGCACAAAACAACGATAATTACCAAATCAGAACATAATAATAGAATTACATTACGTGATAAGTCACATCCAAACCTCGCTGATAAATTCTCGCAGCAGAAAGTTAATTGTAGATGAAAGTTAATTGTAGATTGCTCAAGAAGACAAATCAGAAAGCTGATGGTGTGAGAATAACAGGTAACCTGACCATCAACATGATTTCAGTTGAAGATTAACAAAGTGCTTCGCTATTCATAAAATAAACAAGCAAATCTGCGCCTGTTCATAGCGGCAGGAATACATGCGAGCACGCAATACCTACGCAGACAGACACACACACACACACACACACACATACTTGTCTAGGCTTTTCTTCACTGGGGGAAAGAAGGACAAACATTTTAGGAACACACAGTCGCTTACTATAATCACAACTTATCTTTTCTGTGCACCCAAGTAAAAGCAAAATACAAGAGACTTCATCATGCCTACTGTGCTTCTTTTAAGTTTTCAAATTAGTATTTATTTCGTTTATCCTCCGGAGACAAGACAATATACCGCGAATGTTGGAAAATAAATAAAGCCACACTGAAGAGCTCTAAAAAATTCTGAAAAGAACTGAGAAATTGTCTCCAGTGTATGTAATATTTAAAGGGTTACAAACCTCAGCGCCGCTCAACAGAACAATCTGCGGGTTAAAAGCTATTGTTTATTTGAACAATAGGCTAAGGATTCTATTAAAAATCAATACACTATAATAAAAAAGAAAATGGGGTTCTGAGCACTGCAAAAGCTATCAAGCCCATAATCCAACTCCAGTGTAGGAGGAACATATTCTGTGAGAAAATAACTGCTATTGCCTTCTCAAGCAGTAATTCAAAGTGGTTCAGCACCGACACTCCAGTAGAAGAAATAACATAAAAAAGAAATAAAAGACCGAATGATTGGATTCACGTCCCTCTGAGAGATAATTAATCAAGTATGCAAAGCGGGAAGCAAAATATATTGTTGAGAAAATAAAATGTTTAAATCCTCTCACATCTTCCATTTTCCAGAAGAATACATTAAATTATTTTCTATTCAACCATAAAAGACAATCTGCCAGGCTGGTTATGTAGAGCACGCATCACGAGGTACAAAGCTCTCCGAGATGGAAATCTAGTTTTAAAAAGCACAGAATTAAAATCTACTTTTCCACTGAGAGAGAGGAACGTGGAGCAATTTGTTCATTAAAAGAGAAGCTGCTTAATCTTCCAGCCCATCACTATTCAGCATTAAATAAAGCTGGACCCGTGTCATGCTTAGATCAACACCACTGTCTTTCTTCCCCTTTGTGAATCACTGAGCCAGGAACAACATATGTTAAAGATTAAAACAGGAGGTCAAGATAGCTGTAATGTGTACAGTGTTTTACCCAGTGGGATATGGATTAGAATTTCATGCTCATTTTGTTGTCATTGTTGTTTGAAAATAAATCCTAGCACATAGTCCAAAAAGGACAAAGATGAAAACAATATGACAATTTATGCATAAAGACTTATGAAAGAAGAGAAGATTAAAAGATCAAAACATAAATTCACTTTTTAGTTTAAATATTATTTTATATACATTTATTCTTTGCATACAAAGACGTGGACTTTTATAGAGGCAGAGTAAACAACAAAAAGCCAGAAAGGCAAAAAGTAACAAGCAGCAGTAAACAGAACTGCTGCCTCGCATCCATTACGAAAAGTGTATCAGGGTAAAATTTGACTTCACTCCAGGTACAGGCAGCACTGAATAAAAGTTGGAGGCATCAAAATTATTTGAGCAAGTAACAGACAGAGATATGGCTTTGTTTGGTATTTTAAAACTGACTTTTTAAAAAGTAAGATTGATCTGCCTACATTTTATGAAATGGTCAGAAATTTTCAATAGCATTTATTTCTGACTTCAATTCCAGGAACGACTCAAGGCTTTTAACTGGCAGGGGGGAGTCCCATGAAAAGAGAATCAAGTCAATTTTAGACCTATTTATTCACTTCTCTGTATGCTGTCTCTCCTACATCTACTGCAGTAAATAGACTTGCCTTCACGAAATCTATTTATTGGCAATCTTCTCCCTGCTGACACCAAAGACAAAAAATACTGGTAGCCTCCATGGCTCTGCGTTATTTTATACTCAGATGCTCTGAGAAGTTGGAAGTTCTCCATGTTCAAAGACGTTGCACTGCTGCAATCTTTTTCCCCTGTCCTCAGCAGAAACCAAAATGATTCATGACAGCAATCCAAAAGCAAAATCACTTGCTCGCTATGGCTCCTAGTCTCACTATCTCACCAACAAAAATGGCCTGCAATTTCCTAGCACATATTACTCTCAAAAGACTTTGATGTGCTTTGATGAAAGAGTTACGTACTGCAATTTGGGGAGGTTTAATTCAACACAGCGTTAACAAACCAGTCAACCTAATTTATGTAATTAACCTAAATTATGTAATTTAAAAAAAAAAAAATCCTGTTTTAGAGAAATTTGCACTGGAAGTTACAAGGGCACATCAATGTAACAACAGAAATAACTGTATCCCCAACCCTTCCATGGCTATACAAATCCAGACTAGTCTCCAAATGTATTAACATTACATTTTCCACAAGTTACTTTTGGTCATTAGAGAAGGGTTACAAACCATTAATGGACTAACACTGAACTTGCATCTCATATCTCTACTCCGTAAGTTTTAGCAATGAGTTTTGCCCAACTTTGACATCACTGACCTTGAAATACCTGAAGAACTCTCTCCAAAAACCTGACTTCTAATATTAGAGACCTTATTTTCTTATACTTGCCTCCAGGACTTGAAACATGACGCAGGAGCAAAATTACTTTCAATATTGTATGGATAGGTAAGATAATAATGAATTGAGCGGAGGAGGGAAAAGACAGACAAAAACACAGCCACCTCAAAGGAGCAAAAACATGAATGCGTTTCAAGAAAAAGGGAGAAAAAAGACAGCATATGGCCTAAACTGGGACATAACGAATTTGTGTCTAACAGACAGAAGCTGACAAAGGTATGAGAAAGGCTTTACATCATCGCTTCTGAATAACTTCCTAAGCAAAACTGATGAAGCCTTAATGCTCCTGGTTGAGTCCATGACAAGACTGACACTGATCTCTTCAGTCACAGAGTACAATACTAATTCCTTGACTAGAAGCACTCTCCTATGAGATGCTTTCAGCACCAGAACGGCTGCTCTTTGGCTACAAAACAGTTCCACTAGTATCTCTCTAATCCTTCCTTTTTTTGCAGCAAATAGGATCCTGTTATTACACAGTTTGGTTTCAGGATAAGATGATAAATATATGTTCTTAATGTAAGATATCTTTATTAAAAGAATATCCTTATTATAATAATCTCTTTATTACCACAAGACTTTGTAATCCCAAAGAGATGCTTCAGAGAATATATAGCCTATCTATTTCTATTCAGTGACAATCTCTTTTTACAACAAAAATACGCTTAACAGATTGACAATGGCTACTTTCCGTCAGAAAGTCTGTTTATATTCATTTCTTACTCTACACAACTGCTCAGAACACAGTGTCAACCATTACTCACTCTTTTTCAGTGTGTTTGGTTTCACTATAACATAAAATGCAATCATAAAAACAACCATCTCGTGACAACCGTCAAAAAGTGAAGTAGCTGGTTACAAAGCAGCAGCAGAAAGTCTTAGGCAAATACATTTGTATGCACGATACTGTAACTAACCTTTTAATAATGCCATTTGTATTTTCAATATGTGACACTGAAGCAAACATACGGGCGGAGAATACGGCTGCGAGAAAGGTGGGCTGGTCTCTGAGGGAGGTCTCAGAGTGGAAGCAGAGGGGATTAGAAACCATGAATGTAAAGATGTGTATAGAAGGACACATTCAATCACCGACCATGAGAAAGAAATCATTCACTTAATCTTCAAGGTTAAAGCTGCTTTTCTTTAAGAGCTTTGAGTAGTTAGGAGCATTGTTACTTACCAGCTGTATTTCAACTGCTGTTACAGGCCTGTGGTTAAGCAACTGTAGCTTTTCTGCTCTGTTTAAAAGCAAAACATAAAACACTCTGAATTACTATATAATTTGAGGATCCCAAAAAAATGACTCATAAGATGCAAATACATTCCAGATAACTTAGGGATGAAAAGCTGCTGCCAAGAATAATTTTGACTGGCTTTGTGGTGTGGTCTCATACCTTAATTGCCATGATAATTTGGGTATTTTGAATATAGTACTTCCTTCTGTGTCTAGACACATTGCTATTGCCACCTATTGTCTAAGGTGGCAAAGCAGATCCCCTTAACTCATTACTGCACGACCATTATTTAACCTGCATACTTACTCTCTTAATTGCTGTATAGAAATACTAAACAGCTGTCAAAGGTCGCAGAGCCTTGCGCTATGGACAAGTGATCTCAAGATTAGTTATCAAACTGAAAAAGTTAAAAATTAGCTTGAAACCTCTTGGTCACATATGCTGTCTGCAAACCACAGGGTTTAAGCTAGTGTGTTTTTTCATGCATTATTACAGCGGGTTACGGCCATACTTTTACACGCACATCTTTGGGCAAAAATGATGGCTTATGCCCTCTGTCCTCTCCTGCTACGTACATCTACCCTTCAGCTGCGCTTGTGCAGCTGCCGGGCAAGAAGCAGATGCTCTGGATCAAAAACACCCGGGTCTTTTTCCTGGGTTGTTTTTGACTTGGTTCACTGCACAGCCCCACTGCACAGTTGCACAACACCAGCAGCAAAGTAGCAAAGAGACAGAAACCGCCAAAGAAAAAAATCCTCAACCTGCTCGTGAGTTGTAAAGGTGCGATCACTCACTGCAGGTTAAGTGGCAAGGAGCAACTCCTTACGCTACAGTAATTCAAACGCTTCTGACCATCTGTCCACGCTCATCGGCAGACAGAAAGCGCTTCTGTGCATCCAGATCTGCAGTCCTGTGCCTTGCCCACAAAAGCACTTCTCCTCAATGTTAACTTTTTTGTTTTGATTTTAGAAACAAACTGCATTGCACTGATATTTTTAATAGCTCAATTTTCATTCTCCTCTGCCTGCAAGGGGGAAAATTCAGTAAAATTAGTCTGGTATAGGTATTTAAGCATAAAAACATGTTAATATTCAGGGAGACAGTTTAACACCACAGAAGCCAACGTTAACATTTCTAATAAACTCAGAACCACAACTATGCTCACTCTTCTGCATTTTTCTGCATTCATTGTACCCAAACAGCTAACAGCCTCTAGAAATGAAGAGATTTACACATCTTTCCTTTAAAGACTTTCATCTTTAAAATAGAAAACTGGGTATGAGGGGAAAAAAATTAACTGACACTTAAAGAGCCCTCTCTTTTTTTTAGGGGGGAAGATGTGCTCACGTAAGCATTTTTATGAAATTCAAGCCAAAACATTTAAGCAAAAGCTCTGCAGTCAAAAATGATTAATTTTAGACCCTACTGAAATACAAATCATTCTAATAGCAAAGTCCAAAACAGCTGTCATAGGCCAGTAATACGTCTTTCATTAATCTCAGAAGCTCAAACCATTAACACTGATCACATAATAGCAGCATGGCTAATGATCTGAGCTGGTCTTTGTGTTTTAGCGCAGAAAAGCACGCTAAAATGGGACTGGTAGAGATGCAAGAGACATGTTAAAAAGGGCATAAGAAGCAGTAGAAAAGGCACTTTATTATTATAAAAACATACCGCTACAATGTCATAATAATAGATACAATGTGTAAAGGAACTTAAACATATATTTTGGGGGAAAAATCTGCAATGATTATTTTTGATACATACCTTCTCCTAACAGACATTGTGTTTAGGCAGTACTTCATGATCGCACACAGATCATTAACACATGCACTGTCTTGCAGCTTGTCCTACAGCAGTGAACTGCAATTTTGGAGAACTAAAGCTCGGAATTTAGTGCTACTCAAAGGGCATCTTTAAGGGCATATTTAAACTGATTCTGAATAGTTTCTCCTCAATTTCTTGGACCTGTGGGGGGTTTCAAAAGGAAACTTTACAGCTTTCAGGAGAAAACAGATGCTGCAATTAACAGCCCGGTGCTAACAGGTCACTGTCCATCTGCCTAGAGCTACTTTAGAGATACCATCTTCCTTTCTGTCGGCCTCTGACGCCAGCTGCCTTTGAATCTAGCATTAGCTAACAGCTTTTAACACCGAAAGGCACTTCAGTACGCCGTCGTTCACGTATGCGCGCCCGCCAAACTATTTACCATCCTCCGGGGAAGCCTATGGCAGGCGATGCGCTGCTCTGCCGCGCACACGCATGCCTGCACGCGTGGCAAGAGGGAGCGAATTTTGTACTTCTGCAGGCAGCCGGCCGGCAGCCGGGGAACAAGGCCTTCATTAATCCCCTGAATACGCAGAACGAGCAGCAGCAGCATAAAATTTTCCTGGCTGATGTCTCCAGACTGGCCTGAAGGAAAAATCCGGTGTTACCAAAGACCGGATGATCCAACAGGCCCTTTTTCACTTACAATGGCCATGATTCTACGGGACTTAACGAAGGAAATCGGATTACGGGAGACTCTGCGGTTCAGTGCAGACAACTGCTCTGCTGATACAAAACAATGGATTTAATTATATCGGAGGGTTTCCTGACGTGTATTCATAGCCCTTAAGGACAGAAAATAGCTCCACAGCAATGACACAGATTGTGGTTCTTAGATCTGGCCTGTTAGTGACAAAACAAAATCCTAAAAAGGAAACGTTGAGCCGCGCAGCTGCCATTTTTATAAAATGCTGGAAAATAATTCTAATCAGGACCTCCAACTTTAGAAGAAAAGCTTATGATTTTTAAAAGCGACATTTGCGAAATACAAAATAATTGACACCAGGAAACTCCAAGAAATCCTCCCATATATCAATTTAACAGTTAAAAAGCTTAAAGTTAAAAAAGCTTACAGTTCAAAATCTTTCTGAATGTACATTTACTTTAAAATGGACCTATTGTTTATCCTCTAAATTTTACAATTGGAGAATTGGGTAAGGAACTAGGACTTGACAAATATAGAGAAAAAAAAAAAAGAAAAAACCTTCATTTTAACCAGCCACAAAACTGTTCAAAACGTCTGTTTGAAAAACAAACTCAATCATTTTGGGTATCATTCCACCCTTCTAATCTTCTTTCCTACTTCTGCAGAAGCACAGCAGATAATCTTTCTCAGTCTTCAGGAAGAGGCTGCAGTGAAGTGACGGTTGGTACATGGATGAATGCCAACAACCGTAGCAGATGTTATCCTGATCACAGATGTAATTTCCCCTGAAAGGGTATTTTTGTGTAAGAACACGAAAGATGCTTCTACCTGTACATTAGCATTTGCCCTTACAAGCAGGGTCACGCACTTACTCCTCAAAGGAAAGGTGCCTTAAAGCACACATCTGTAAAGCAAATATTTTAACTGTGGCTTCAAAGCATTTTCTAAGAAACACCAACGATTACATTAGTTCACAGAGTGTGCCTGTACTTATTTATCGGTCTTGTACAAACTAGTAAGAATCATTATCCCCATTTTACAGGCAGTAAGACTGAGAGCAGAACGATTAGGCGGTGAGTGCTCTAGAAGAGGGGATTTGGGAGGTTTGGGAATGGGGATGGATGGATGGAGGGAGGGTGGGGGGAGGAAAGGAGAGGCCCTTAAGGCAGGACATAGCAGTAGACATTGCTATACTCTTTGAAAGCGCCATCAGATAAGGCTGAAAAGGACTGTGCAACCAGGGCCCACCACCAGGCCTTTCATTCGCGAACTGTCGGGCACATACAGGTAGCAAAAACACAGGAAGATACTGGGGAGAAGGTCCTTTGCGTCAACCGCAGTATCAATCAGAGGATTTAAAGGTAATTCCCACTGTAGTGACTACGTTCTCCCTTCTCTCCCACAGAGCAACTGTCTGCACTGTTTTTGCTCAGAAACCCTCTGGCAGCACAGCGTTTGGCCTTTAACTCCGAAGACGGAGATTTTACAAACAACGCAAAGGAGCCGGAGTTAGCTTCGGTACCCACATACGTTAGTTGGCTTTGGCTGGGGAGCATCAAGGAGGAAAAGCCAACTGCGCTTCCCCTGGTGCGAAGCAGGGAAGGTGCCTCCGCTGTTTTCCCATGCTGATCATTTGTACCTGTCTATTTAGCAGCTTGATGCTTACAACAACGCAGAGACTATTAACAGCATGGCTGAGTTTAAAACCGAACTGAGCTCACCGTCGCTGGCTGCCTTACTGTCGGAAATATAAAGTATTTATAACTGCTGCTGTTTAGGACTATAATAAGCAGTGAAAGAGACAGAAACAAAAACCTGAGCGTTGACTAGACACAAGTACTGAAATCCTTTCAGCCCAGAATTAAAATTGAGAGCAGGAGATGTGAGGAATCAAAGGGAGGAGGGGAAAAAAAAAAGGCACACACTTCTAACATTGCATCAAAAGACATCACCACCACACATAAAAGCAGAAGTCCTGACAGAGCGGAGGAAAGACTATTAACTAGCATCTTCAGCATACAAAGAATGTGGCCAATTCATCTGAATAAAGGTATGAAAGATTTAGTGCTTCTTCCTCAAGAGCTAGGAAACAGCCTGGTTCAGTGCCTGGAGCGCTTGCCTGAGATGCAGACGCTGGAGTTTTAATCCTGGCTTTCGGTGTTATTTGCTTTATGGTCCCTGGCCAAGCACAACTTGTCTGTGCCTCAGTTTCCAGATGTCTCCAACAGCGATAACATTTGCAGCTCTCACAGCGGAGCGATGAGGATATCTAGTGGTAAAACATTCCCCTTGCCCAGTTCTATTTACAAAGATAAACTTTTATGCTTAATGAAGTCATACTTTGTGCAGGTTTCTCGCAGCGCTGTACGCTCACATGCCAGTGGGTGGAACAGAGCCTTTTCAGACAAGTCTTTTGTTGAAAGACTGGCACGAAAAAAATGTACTTTTGTTGCCAATGTACACTTATACAAAATTTCGCAGCCAAATTATCAGAATCAAATAATCAAATTCATATCATGCCTGTGCT